TGCAGGGATGTCAGTATTAGCACATATCCTTGAATTTTGAATTATCCAGCTAAGCTAGAGGCTTTACACTGTAAGCTTCTCTACTTTCTCCTGTACCACAACATGTTTTAATTTAATCCCTGTTCATTTTGGTTGGGCATGGAGCCTTTTACTCTGTACTTTTCCATCTCTAGATCTCTGACCTGTACAAGAGCCTGGAATGTAAAGAGATTAAAATCCAGCAGTTAGCAGAGGCTGTTAAAAAGTGTGAGAAAGAATTCAGACAGTTTACACAACTGTTTGGTAAAAATAGCAACTTGATGGTAAGCACACAGGTGAGTGACACATTGGTTTTCTCCCTTTTGGCCAATTGCATTCTTGCAGTTTAAACCATGCACTATGAAGTATGTTTATCCAGTTGTCATTAATAGCAAGACAGTAACAAATACTGTTTCCCAGACATTTCCCAAGCCCTTCTTATTTACAATGACAGTATTGTGTTGTAACCAATAAAGAAGTTTGGTTATCTAATCAGGGCAAAAAGCACTGTATAAATCCTCATGGCCAGATCCCCATGGAAAATAGGAAGGTGTGAATTTGAATCATCAGTTGAATGAAATAAAGCAGCATGAACTGATCAAATTGAGGGATGGCTTCTCAGCTGGTAAATGCCAAAGGAGGGATTAGTTGGACACGTTCCTGAGGCAGCAGAGTACTTCTGATTGTACTGTGTAGTTGGTATTGCTCACATGTTAAAGATTTCTTTATTTCCAATGAAATGGCTGATTTTGTAAATGTCCTTGTCTCCGTTTCCCACCTTCTTCCTACGGTATTGACTGGAAGGCTCTTGCCAGTCATCTGGATAAGTCTGCTCGACTGGAATCGCAGGTGAAACAGCTAATACAGATGGCAAACCAACAACAAAGTAAATTAGACTTGAGACCCCTGTTTGACACAATTGAAAATGTAAAACAGAAGATTGCCCTTATGGAGACATATGATCAGCGCTTAGGTATGTCTGGACTTCCTTCTTTTCTGCATGGGTTCTGGGATCTTTGCGGTGGCTAAGTAGAGGCTCTGGTACTGCAGTCAGTCAGTTGCAACTCTTAGCCAAAAAGGGTTCTCTTCTCCAGGCTTTCTATGACCAACCTGTGGTAGTACATGCTACAAACATCCTCCCACCTTCCCCTACTCCATACTGTCACCAGAGGGCCCAGCTTCTGAATTCCTGAGGCACAGGAGGGCCAGAGTGCTGGGTTTGGTGAGGCTGAGGCACTGTGGTGGTAGCAGTCGTTTTTTCCCTAGTCAGACAGTAAATGTGGCTTGCAGTTAGTGTTTTTCCTTATTCAACTACCTGCTGCAACTAGAATTGGAAGAAAAAAAGGTGAACAGCTGCAGGTAACAGTCTGTACTCGGTACTGTTCTTATGTATTGTCAGTTCAAGTCTGGCTGCTCTCTGACAGTTTTATTTTACTTTTTCCCAGTTGTTTTGGAAAGTCAGTCCAGCAAACATGATCTCCAGATCAATATTCACAAAGCACAGCTCAATAAAAACGAAGAACGATTTAAGCTTTTGGAAGGCACATGCTACAATGGGAAATTAATTTGGAAAATCACAGACTACAAGATGAAGAAAAAAGAAGCAATGGAAGGTCGTGTCCTCTCCATCTTCAGCCAGCCCTTCTACACCAGCCGCTGTGGGTACAGGTTGTGTGCCAGAGCCTATCTGAATGGGGACGGCTCAGGCAAAGGAACACATGTCTCACTCTACTTTGTTGTCATGAGAGGCGAGTTCGACTCACTGTTGCCATGGCCCTTCAAGCAAAAGGTTACACTCATGCTTTTGGATCAAACTGGGAAAAAAAATCACATTGTGGAAGTCTTTAGAGCTGACCCCAACAGCAGCAGTTTCAAAAGGCCTGATGGAGAAATGAATATTGCCTCTGGTTGTCCACGCTTTGTGCCACACACAGTTCTGGAGAACACGAAGAATACCTATGTCAGAGATGACACTCTGTTTTTGAAAGTAGTTGTGGATCTAACTGATCTGGAGGAATTGTGAAGAAAAAAGTATCCAATCAGTGTGACTGCTTTAATTTTTATGAAATGCCTTCTTGTTGATTACTAGCCATGCAATAGTGAATTGCCACCTGTCAGCTACTCATGTGTTTTAAGGCTCTTCGACCATGTGACAGACAACGAATTGTTAAAACATCAGCCTTTGTTTTTTAACCTTTTTTCAAGCCTGCAGCTTTAAGGCAGCTGTAAGACCAGTCTGATGTGAACACGCATTCAATCCAGTGCTTTGACTAGGCTCAGTATGGGCTGGGTGTGAATGCTTGGCTCACATCACAGGACTAGTGATTTAGGACGAAAATTCTCCTATGAGCCCTTAGGAGCCCAGGCAGGCCTGTGGGCTCCACTACTCACACCAGTGCACATTTCACTTGTCTGAAATGGAAACATTTCAATATTAGCTCGTTTGAATCAATGTATCATGAGCCCTCAATCTCCTGGATTTTTGAAGCAGTGAGAAAGGGGTTCAGCCAGACACCTGTCAGGGATCTTGCATACTTTTTTTCATTAACGTATTTTTTACCAGGAATTCCAGAGCAAAATACCAATGCCTCTTACTTTTCTAGCCTGATATTTCAGCTGTACAGAAGGTCACAAAACGGCTGTGGTAACATCATTTTCATTCCTGCCTAGTGCCTTGGGACTGATTTCTACTGGTGATCAACATCCACAGTCCCCAGCTGAGGTCAAAAGTAGTTGCATGTCCTTCTTACCTCTCAGGATATGGCCATAAGGTACTCAGCTGCCAGCTCTTGGAAGAAAGGGGACAAAATTCTTCAAAAGTTTGTCCTTCCAGCTGCATCCCTGGGCCAACCAGCTCTACAGGTGGCAGGAAGAGCTCTGGATATGTTGGGGAAAAACCTCAGATAACATGCACTGTTCTCCCTAGAAATTTGGAATTTTGGGAATGAAGGGGGAAATAGACGAGGGAATGAAGTTCCTGTTGGAACCCAGGTCTCACAAGTAGTGCAGTTTGAGCATTTGTTAAAAGGAGTGAGAGCTGCAGAGCAATTACTGATAACTATGAAATACTTAGGAAGATCTTCATTTTTATCCTAAGTTCTCTCCGTATTGCAAACGAACAATTGCATTTTATGTGGTTTATTGGAGACACACTAAGAATGCCCAGATCAGGCACCAAGCAACAAGAAGCAAAGAACACATGTGCCTTTTTAAAGTCTTTTGGGTGCTTGTAGGATGGATGTAATTTTGCACACTCAGTCATTTTGTTGTTAGAAGTGACGGAATTTTGTGTCTCATTTCTTGCAGATCAGGTAGTGAAAGAGCAAAATATTATCCACTGCTCCTGCAGCCCACTGGCAAAATAAAGCTGGAGCTTTTGAAAAGGATGGCATGAAAGCAAGCTGGATTTAGAGTAAGAATAAACCAGGCAGAATAAAAACCAAAATGGGGCACAGACCCCGAGGTATAAGGTAGAAAATTCAAGACGGCAAGTGTGGCAAAATGGAAAATGCCACTTCTGTGCAGAATGATATAATATGATTTGGTGACTGACACTAAGATGAGGGCAAAGTACTTTTTATGTATCTTATACCTGGAAGCTCATTGCTACAGGCATTTACTTTTCCAGGCAGTTTCTGGAACGTACATCAGACAAATATTTTCAAATTTGGAGGTGGAGTGGGGGAAAAGCCTTACGATCTGTACACCACAGTAAGGTGGTACACCTGGAAGTCCTTTTTGTTGCACCACGTCTGTGTATGATGGGCACACAGGGGTTTTCATAGTGACCGGACAGATGATAAAGGTCCAATTTTGTTCTTTTGTATCACCACCATGACTGACTTTACAGTCCATTTTCTCCACATAGCGGAGAGAATTGGGCCTCGTGTCCTTAACACTTTTCGTTACAGAAAGAGAAGTTTGTTTGAAAGATATTGCGATATCGTGGGACAGTGATTCTAAGCCTCTGATGTGGGCTTCGTATTGACTGACACTTTCAAAGGGATAACAGAGTGGTGTCAGCTGCAGGTCCTCAGACTGTCCAGTGCGTGAAGTGTAAAATGAAAGACTGAAGACCCTGGAGAACTGAAGCGGGACGGAAAGGACGCACTCTGTATCTGGATGAATAACAGACCTCTCTGCCTCCACACCCCAAGTATAAAATGGGGATGATAACACTTGTGGAAGTGTTAGGACTATTTAAATGTTTGTGAAGAGTTTTGAGCATGAAAAGAGCTAAGTACTATTAGAACTCCATTTCTGTCTGTTGAGTTGGTGATGGCGTAGTGATGTGGGTGTGTGTCAGTGTGTTGCCAGGCCAATGCTGGGAGCGTGCTCAGCTCTGGGCAGGCTGTGCCTGTGTTGGCGTTACCGTTTTGCCATGAACGTTCCTTTTAAAATTCTGAAGCACAAATGATTCCCCCTGGGTGACAGAAATGTCCCCGTTGGAGTACTGCCTATTTTATAATGAATTTATTGAGAAAATTACTTTTTTTTCTAAGGCGATCTTATTTAAACTGGTTTCTTTTGTTACAATAGTTGAGTTTTGTGTTAAGATTCTCAGCGATTTTTACTACTTGAGAACCGCATTTTAAATTTCATCTCAAGGGTTAGGGAAAAACGTTGTCTAGCATGATTACTGGGGAAGGATTTTTTCGTTGCATGATAAATACCAAAAAACCTTTCAATAATGTACTGAGTAAACAACTAAAAGCGTGTTCTACATCAGCACACGGTGTATTTTTATGTAGTTACTGACCATTTGTAACTGTTTGAGATTCTCTTACTACAGTGCAGGCATTTTTCTAGCCTAACGTCATAACTGGATACGCAAAAACAGGGTCAGAATAAATAACGTTTACCACCTCTCCGGAGTGCCGTGTGTCCCGTCGGCGGGCAGCCGTTGCCATGGGCGGTGCCGAGCGCGGTGCCGGGCGGGCCGTGACGCTCTGCCGGGCCGGGGAGCACCGCCTCCCGGTCGCCGCCAGCCCTTCCGGGTCAGCGCCGAGCCGCAGCCGGGTCCGTGCTGCCGCCGCGGCCGGCCCGGTAAGTGCGGCGCTGCGTCGGGCTCTGCGGGCGGGGCAGCCGCAGGAAATGGCGGCGGGGAGCCGGGCCCTCCGGTTGGAGCCGTCCCGGCGGCCTCAACGCTGCGTAGGCCGGGGATCGCTCCTCGCTGTCGCGGAACGTGGCCTCCTAATGCGCTGTCGGCTTGTAATCGCTTTGGCGAGAAATTTTGTGTAAATGCGTTGATAGTGACATCTTCGAAGGTTACGCACAAACGGGGTCTTGGCACACGTTCCTGCTGCAGGAAGATGGAAGCCTAAACTTTTGCTTCACCGTGGTGCGATGCGCTCTGTGCGGGTGCTGGCGGGGTTGGCCTTAGATGTCTTCTCGCCTTTCCTCTTTCACCGCACCCTTCCTCTTTCTTTTCTCCTCCAAGGCTTTTGGAGATGGTGCTCTTGACCAAGCTTTTGTCTCACTAGGTATGGACAACCAGAAGGATGAGAAAGGCAGGCTGCTCAGTGCAGCTTCTACAGAGGACCTGAAAGTCCAAGGTAGGCACAGCTGGTCAGTTTGACAGCCACAGTGCTGTGTGTGATCTGTTATCCTCTGTGTCAGCTACCATCTTTAACTGTCATCTTTAGTGTAGTCGCTCGCTAATGATAACAGACTGTGGCACACTGGAAGAAAGAAACAGAAGAAGAACGCTCCTCAAAATATGCTTTGGTTATGTTTAGTTTCTGTGAAATCATTTTTGTAGCTACTTGCAGGCGTGTCACTTTTGTCTTGTGTTTTCCTAAGGAAAAGAAAAAAGGAAAAGAAAACGTAGCAGAAGCAGATCATCATCTGTTTCATCCACATCATCTTCTAGTACTGCATCCACTTCTTCTTCCTCATCGCATTCATCATCAAGGTCCTCATCTTCAAGTAGCAGAGGTAAGCTGAAGCTTCACGGGGGGGCCAATTAAGTAGGAAAAAGTTTTACTTTTGCCTTTAGCAGTGATGGAGTTTTCAAGTGAGTTGTCAGCTTTGGTAATACGTTTCTGTTGCTTTCTTTGTGTCCAGATCTCTGGCTATCAGACACTTGCCGTCTGTTAAGCACATCTGCAGAAAGAGAGAAATATTGTCACTAATGTCATATATTGCTATAAGTAATCAGTGCATAAAAAAGATTTCCAATTTCCCTGTAATTAAATGGCAGTAAGCTAATGTGTTGTTTTTCATACAGTTAATTTGAGCCAGTGCTGATACATTCAGCTGAATTAAAGCATTTTCTTCCTATGCTTTACATTCCTGTATGCCTCATCTCTAAAACCAAATGCCTTTTTCAGAATACTGAACTTAGTTTATTTTTTTTCAGATTCTTCTAAAACTAAATCAAAGAGAAGGAAAAAAGAAAAACACAACAAAAAGGTAAACGTTTTCTAACAAACAGAAATAAGTAGTTAGCAAACAGAAAATAGCTCTTTGTACTTCAGTAGCCCTAAATATCATGGGATGTTTAATGCTTTTGTCTGTGGCTATGTAAATCCGAAGCGTGCTGTTAGGGTTAAGGTAAGTGAACTCTTAAGTTGACACACACCAGACTGTATATTAAATGAGAAATAACTTATGGTTCCTTTTGCCAGTAATTGCTTATCCAACTAGAATTTAGCATAGTTGCTGAGGAAAATAAATAGGAACCTTCATAACTTTATAGAATTTCTGTCAGAAGAAACCATTTATAGTTGGTCATAGATTCTCAGTGTTGTAATTTTGCTTTCTTCAGGTCCTAACTGCTGTTCAGTGATTGTATGCGATAGGAGTACATTAAAAGAGAGAATCAGGGATCATACCATTCCCATTTCCAGAGATCCAAAGGTTGCTAACTTTGCTGAATTACTTTCTGTGTATTTCATATAGGACCAGCAGTGGTAAAGACAAGCAGCAGTGGCTCTGTTGGCTAGCCAGGGCATGGATAGGCTGCTTGTGGATTTTGGTTTTTTTGCCTTTGCGAATCTGTAAGTGCTACAGAATGTGTCTTATACTTGCAGAAGAGAAAAAAAGAGAACAAAATGAAGAAAAAGAAAGAAAAGAAGAAAAAGAAAGAAAAAACAGGACCTGTCCAGCTTTCAAAGGTATGCTTGTATGAGTTGAAATTCCCACTGTATTTCTCATTTAAACAATGTAATGTCCTAAAAATGTTTATAACTGCACCATTTTTCCTAACCGAACAGAAACTTACCTTTATTTTTTAGACATCTAGGAAGTATGAGAGATTATAATCTATAATTTTCTTCAAGATTCATAAGTATTTGTAATACGAAGCAAAATTACAGGCAGTTTTTTCCTCATGTGTGGTTTTATTTTAGTTCTTCAAAAACAAAAAGAAGAATGAAAACTACAGCATGATAACTGGAAAGAAAATTAAGATGAAAATAAAGAAGACTAAGAAGGATAAAGAGGTGAGATTAAAAGTCTGTGCGTCCTTAATGGAAAATACCATTTTTTTTTTTTTAATTTTCTTCATAGCGGTACTTAGTAGAAGAGTAGATCTTACAAGTTATAAATTGAATGAAGATTTTAATGTGGCTATGAATGCCATCTGAGAAATTTAAATTCATTCTTCGGGCAGGCTTTGTTAAATGAGCAGTCTTGGAATGTTCAGGCATGAATAGATAAACCAAAGGATGCTGATGCAATTCTCAGAATTTCGGCCCATAAGGTTGAGCTGCTTTGTGACTTTTCCTGTTTGTTGAGCTTGCACTCTTTTTAATTGTCCTCAGCTTTTTCCAGTCACTTGTGGTCAATTGTGGTAATTGATGCCTTACTCTGCTTTCTAACAAGCATGAGACTAGCCATTACACTGAGAAGAAGGAAAAAAGATAATAGGATCACGTTGATGCATTCTGCCAAAGTAGTCAAATGTTTTTCACTGAGATACCAAAGGAACTGGATATCAAGAATAGATAGAGAGCATTTTGTTCGCTTGCTAGGGATGCTGACACTCAGCACTCAAGTGTGTTCTCTCTTTTCACTAGTGTCCACACTTGATAGAAATCTGCAAGAGGACTTCTATATTTGTTAAAAAGTGGCATTTTGCTGAAGTATCCAGATTGGTGGATTCTCACTTAGCCATGGCAGTTTGTTCTATAGCTACCAAAATAAACCTAAGCATTCCAAATTCAATTTCATCAAAAATACATAATCTTCTTCATGTGGCATTAAGGTTCCTTGCTGTCCTTATCCCAGTAACCTGCTTGCTGCAACATGTGATGGCAAATATTTGATGTTTGCTTTTTTGATTGGCAGTTTCAGTGATGGACACACTGAACTGAACAATATCTCTTACAATATTTTAATATTCAGTGATTGCTTCATAAATTGTGTTTTTAAAGATGAAAAAAAAATTGAAAAGCAACTGTTTTGATTATTTGGGCTGTCCCTTATGTAAAGAATGTAAATCCACGTTTCCCTTTCTGTATTGCTACAAGCTGCTGCTTATGCACAGAAAAAACAATACTTCCTAGAGCAAGACTTCCTGTGTGTACGGCTGGTGTTGCTTCAGACACCAGAAGAATGCATCTGTTCTGCTTGTGAATTCCCCCCTGACACCAGGCTGTGTGAGCTACATGCTGACAACCCAGTGCAGCCTCCACAGGGAGCCACTTAGAAAATACACCATGAAATAACAGCAGAGACAGCTTGTCTCCTCTAGCATCTCTTCTGGGTACTCACTGCTTGCACTTCTCCCAGGCACTCTCAGCTGTCTGGCAGCCAGTGATGCTCAGTTGCCTGGGGTCCTCCCAGCAGCCTCACTGTTGTGTAGCCAGGGTGTTTGTCACCAAACACCACAATGTTTGTTGTGCAGTGTGCCCGTGTGCCAAGGCCCCACAGAAAACAGTTGTATAGCCTTGGTCCACCAAGCACAGGTCTGTTGAATTATTGCCTCTGCTTTTCTGCTCCACAGAGAGACCGGAACCGTGCAGAGCTGCTTGAATTTCTGAACTCTGCCTTATAATGGGAAGAGTGTGACCAAGGACTTGTAAATACGCCAAGCTGGTGATGATCATGCCTAGCAAAAAAGCTAAAGAAAACTCAGGGAAAAGGATGCCGAGTTTGACAAGACCAGACTCCTGCTGAGACAATCAGGATATCCTTTTTTTAATGGCAAAATGAAGATCAAACGATAACTTGTTAATGAAGATCTATGTCCTTTTGAGATGCTAAGGTAACAGCCAGGCTGTGGTGTTTTAGAAGATCCTAAGAGTGTGTCATTGGCAATGACATGTATTGACACACCGAGGTCCAATTCTATCCTAACTGCATGCAGAACACACTTTTAATTTCAAATGTCTTAAAGTTTCCAGTAGCTTAAACAAAGCGGATTATTTGTAACTGTCTGTTGAAAGATGAGGCATTTCTATGTGTATATTTTTTCCAGTAGTGGTTTTACTTGTCCTAAAGAGCAGGTTGACCTTTGTAAATAGAACATCCTTTTACATAAATGCTTTTTTGACAGTTCATTCATTAATATATTATTTTATTTCAGAGTGTGAGGTGTGGTCTTTCTCTGAATGGTTTTATTACTCTTTGTCACTAGAAGTATCAACATTAAATATTCTAGAGCTGGACAATTTTTATTCCAAAACTGAAGAGGGAAAGTCTTTGGTTCTTTTTATCTGGATCAGCTGCTCACAGGCAGCATACGCTCACTAATTTACTCCCATATCTCAAGTTGCAGTTCCTAGAGCTAAGAAGCCTGAAGATCTGGCCTGCCTTTCTGACCCTGTGAGGTGTTTGTCAAATCTTCACATAGCATGCATCTGAGAGAAAGAGCCATTGGAATGGTTCTGAGGCAGGCAGTGACAGTGACAGAGATGTCCAGGTGCATGTGTGTGTGTTTGTGTGTGTTTTGGCCTCAGCAGACTGCTCAAAGCCTGCTGCTCACTCCTTCCTAGAGCCCTGGCAGAAGGCCCCTGGGTACAGAAGAACTCTGACGTTGGAATTCCTTGTGAATCACTCGTGCCAGATGCTCCTCAGGAGCCACTGAGAGGTGTGCCTAAAAAAGGCCTCAGTGTGGTTGCCTTTGACAAGGATATCAGGCGGTCAGAGCATGAGGAGTTCATTGCAGAGCAAACAAGTAGAAAGCTCTTTGAGTCTGTGTCTAGCATGGTGTTTAAGGAAATCTGAAGACTTTGTATTATTGTTCAAGGTGAAGTTTTTAAATTTGATGTGAAATCCTCTGGAGATGCTGGAATCCTGTTTGTTTTTTTTTGTGCAGCTTTGTTGTTGTTGTGGAACATTTTGCAGTTGTTGCAGAGATTTAACTCTTTAGAGATTGAGAACATAAAACTTGAAAACACGGGAGTAAGAAATGGAGTTTCCTTGACTTTTAACATTGTTGTGGAAGTATTTTTCAAAGCAGTGTTCTGAAACATAAGTAGGGAAAAACAAAAGAATCCAACTCCTTTACTTCACGGGGATTTTTCTTTATGATTCATACTACTACTATCTATATTTCTATCTAGAGATGCCAAGTGTCATGCCCAGATAAGCAGCTTTTGTCTTTTGACTTCTCTTGGGGAGGTTAATTCCAAACACACCGATAAGGTGTACTAACATCCTTGTCATTCCATACATTGTATTATTTATTAAATACTTATTTAAGTGTCACTACAATCATGTGCATCTGCTCTGCATGCAGCTTGGTGGGACCGAGTGTTTTTGAGGCTGCTCTTGGGAGCTGACCAACAGATTCCAGTCACACCAGTAAGCATTAGGCCTCTGCAGGCAGAGTCATTGTAGTGCCGTGCAGCCCCATGAAGAATTTTATTGTTGTTCACCTTTTAACTAAAGCATAACTTCTTAATGCTGCTTCAAATTTCTGTTATGCCAGCTTAACCAGAGACAGAACTGCATGTGAAGGTTATGATAGTAAGGTAACAGATGCAGATCTAGAAATTTGCGTGGAAACTCTGTAGCAGCATGGAATGTCAGCCTGATAGACAGCCTTGCTACCAGGTCTCCAAAAAGTGCTTATTGTAGAGAAAGATGAAGTGTGGAATAATGAGAATGCATGAGATAGGGATGGAGGGAGACTGCTGGTGTCAGAAATCATAGAGTGCAGGCAGAGATAAAGTGACGAGGGGATTCTGGGGCTTACCTGGCTGGACAAGTGGAGATTCTAGCTGAAAGGTTAAATAATAGGAGTCTTTCAGATGTGAAGCATACATTTTGTGTGTGTGAGAGTGGTCCCTATCACATCCTCTGTCTGAAATTCTGAAATGGAAGTCACTGTTGGGGTAGACTGGTAGAAGATACATTCTCTGAACTGCTGCTGCCGTGCCCCTCCTCCTTGTCAGTATCTTGCTTTTCAAGTATTCTCACCAAATGCGTCACTAGCAGCAGAATTTGTAAGATTTGGTCCCTTGAGTCTTCTTCCCCTGGCTCTTCAAGCTCTTTCTACCTGACCACTACTACTACCACTTGTGTGCGCAGGTGTAGAATGCTGTGTGGCTTTTGTCTGTTCCGTGAAGGGAAGCTCATTTGGAGTTCCTACATCTAGTGAGCAAATATGAGCAAACAGGAAAGGAACCTGACATTTCTAAAGATCCCTCCCCAATAAGCACAGTTGGTAGTAGACTCAAAGTTTTGGGAGAGGATGAAGCAGTTTCTTAAGTTTCTCTGGGGATCCAAACGTGAAAGAATAATTATTTGATACAAGTAATTAAGTGATTCAGCCAGTTCTCATAAGCAATGTAGTCCTTTGTCACTTGCTTTTATAATTTGCCTGAACTTGACTCCTTTGTGCAAAAAAGTACTGAGATTAAAGTGACAAATCAGTCAGAAATAGCAGTTAGGCATGGAAGCACTTGCTGTGTTAATCTAGGGTATATCAACCTGCAGTGCAGTGAGGGCGTGCAGTTTTGATCTCTTCAGTGCAGAGTATGGTTCAACTTAAGCAAGTTGTGCCATTTTGATGTACTTGGGTGTTTTGTGCTGCAGGATTATATGGGCTTCCCAGACATCTCAGGACATCTCCCTCTGCAGCTACAAGGACAGAGCTGTATACACAGGCAAAAGCCGAAAGTCAGAGAGGCTGAAGTAACTTGACCTAGGGTCAGTCGAGGGCTGCCTGAGGCACCTGATGACCACTGGGTGGAGCTCTGAAACAGCTTGCTGGACGTGTCAGTCCTGCAGGGCTTTGCTGTGATTGTTTAGAAACGGGTTTCCAAAACTGTTGCTCAGCTCTTGAGTCCAGCTCTCTTTTGGGCACTGTGAAATGGCTGGGTTTTTGTGGTAGGTTTTTTGGTTCTTCTGAGGGCTTTGAGGTTGTGGGCACACCAGGACATCCCCAAGGCCAGTTATTTGCTTACATCTGAAGCTGTAGGGGGTGAGTCCTTCTAAGAGCTGCTGTTTAGAATTATCAGCAGACGCCCAGCCCAGCCTTCCATCTCCATCTCTGGACGAAACAACTCACCAAAATTATTGTCCAGTACAGAGACCATGGTTTATTTGGCTCTTGAGAGCAGTAATCTTTTTCTGCCTGCTCATTTTTGGCCTTAAGGTGTGATTCACAAGGAATAGGAAACATCTAGTGTTTTCTGCAAGGAGAGCGGGATGCAGTGCTGGTGGCTCTGAGGAAGCATGCTTTGAGACTTCATAAGCAATGTGATGAACTGCTAATATCCATGCTGATAAATGTACGTCAGTGGCAGAGGTACAGAGCATTAAGAAGACAACTGGTACCAGCATGCCAACTGCTGGTGCTGTTTTCTATTCAGAAACGTATAGTTCACGTATTTGTATTTGGTTTGCGTTTTGTTCATGTGCTGTTCTCTGCATGACAGTGATATGAAAGAAAGGCAGCATAAGTGTGAGGAAGCGGTATTTATTGGGAAAGGCAGGGTTAGAAAGTTCCTGCACTTTTCCTGTTAATCATTGCTTAGAATGTGCCAGCAGGTGGCATTGCTGTCCATCTGCACTGCCTCATACAGGGTTTTTTTTTTTTGTTTTTCTCCTTTTGGACTTTGGCTTCCCAATAATTCTGAACTAGCCTGCAGAGATGTGTTGCTTATGGTGCATGTTTGTTACTGCTGTCCTATGAATGTAATCCAGTCTTTCTCCATTTCCTCCTCCTGGCTGTGCTTTGAACATACCACAGTCTGTCCTGCTTCTTCTCCTATACAGAAGGCAGGAGAAAGGTTGGAACTTGTGAGTAGCTGTATACCATGGGAGTGAGTTGCTGGGAGCCAGGAGGAACCTGGAAGGATTGGGTGCTCTTGCAACATCCTTACAGGAACTGCTGAGTTCTGTAGATACAACACTGTATTCTTCACCTGCTAAATAATTTTAGGCTTCCAGTATCAGAATGACACCAAAAAGGAAAGAGGGGTATTTCTCTGGCACTGTTTTGTTCTACATCTGTTATTTAACCTGTCTTCAGACTAAACTACACGTGTTCTGCTGCTTTAGGCAATCTGATACTGCTGATAAGACTGGAAGAGGTACTGTACATGGACTCTGACTCATCAGAAGCCTCTGAGAATATAGCATTATAATTACTAAATAGTAATAACAATATTTACATTCTGAGTGGATACTGGCATTTAGAAAATGCATTTCTCTTTCTCCTGCTGTATCATCCAATGGGGAAGGTTAGATTTACTTGGTGGAGGCAATGTGTAATTGTAAGCATAACAGCTGACAAGCTGTAATCTGCTTATCCAGTCAGGACTCCAGGAATTTTATGAAGTATGCTGTACACAGATGTTCATGAACCACCACATATTTCACTGTTCTTCTTGTAGGTTTTCTCTTTGCCTATCTGTCATGTTTATTAAGATCTCTTCCTACAAAGATTGAGAGTATCTTTACACAGCAACTGCACAGAAGACCACATGCCAATCATGGGAGACTTGGCTGTGCAGCCCACCTCTACCTCTTGGGGTCAGTACTGTGTCTTCCTGATGTGAGCCGGCTTGAAACACAGCTTGCCTGATCATACAGAGGGAACAAGAGGCCCCTTATGCAGAGAGGACAGCAGTACCAGCTAGAGGCAGGCTCCCAGACTGTTGTGTCTGTGCCTGGCACAGGTAGGTGGAACTCACTGAAGCTTAGAGTTCTTTCTCTGTTGCAGGGCACAACAAAAAAAGGTGCTGACTCGCACAGTCCTGTGCTTCCCAGAATGATTTTTTAGCAAAATTAGCATGCACCATGTAGCTTGTCCTCCCGTCTGAGCGGTGAAGTTAACACAGGAATACTGGAATGGCCTGTAACTGTTCTGTGGAAAAAGTGTAAGCAACAAGACAGAGACATGTTTGTCCCCTAGTGTGTTTCTTTGCACAGCTTCTGGGAAGGAACGGCTTAAGCCTTCTGCTGTAGTCTGTATCTCAACCACTTACTTCAGTTTATTCCTGGAGCTCCCTTTTGGAAACACTCTTCTGTCTGATCTCTGCAATTTACTGAGCAATGCAGTCCACACTTCAATGAGACTTTGTGTTGGGAAAAAAAAAAAAAAGCTTCCTCTTGTTTAACTCTTGCGTGCTTTTCATGTGAATGCTTAGTGCAGGGAGCCCTGAGCCATCTGGGGCTGCATACTAATATTAAAGGGTTCCAGTATCTAGAATTGATAGGAGTGACTTGACTCACAAGTATCTGGTGACAAAACATTCATTATGTTGTTCTCCTCATTTTGTGGTAATACTGATCAATGTAAGACGTGCTTGGAAGCACACTGATGAAGATTTAACGTCGAGGCTGTATCTGTAAAGCACTTAGCTTCAGAGAACTTCAGACTTCTGCAGTTGTTTAATCCTAGCTATTTATCACCTTACATCTTGGGATCTGTTTGAAGAGGTAGCAAAGCGGAAAGCAAGTGGCTGCTTTTGCACCTTGTAGAGAGAGGATGTTTTTTTGTTTAGCCTTGGTGTCTATCATTCTTGCCTTCCTCCTTTGATGCGTGCACAGTGTGCAGTGGAGAACTAGAATGGCTTGTGTTTGGCTAGATGTGGACAGATTGCTTCTTTAATTAATGACAACAATTACAAAAATTTGTTTTATAGTTCATAGCTTTGCTTTAATTTTCTAAGGTTCCATGATGAAATACATAAACAGTGCAATCTCAGTAGACAGGTATTTCCTGTGAAGCATACTCCAGTTCTGCAAGGTGTGACAGCTGTCTGAGCTATATGCTGATAGAGCTGAAGAGTTTCCTCCTGCACATTTTTGCTGGCCACCACAACCTGTGGGCCAGTCTAGGCTGTAGGAGCAGAGCTGCATTTTCTTTCTTAGGTGAGTAGTGGCTCTGAAAAGTGTTTCAGCCTCTTGAAGCTGAGCTGTGCACCTGAGCTGCTGTAGTGGTGTTGCCATTATGTGTTGGCATGTGTGATAAAAGTCCCTGATTGCTTTTTCCTGGGTGTAACAATGTCCTTTGGACAGCGTAACACTACCACTGATTGGGCAACAGTGATGCTCTAGGCTGACACCAAAGTCTTTGTTCAGTTTTGAAAGAATGAGGATTTGGAATTATCCTTGTTCAGTTTACTTAGTTGTTTGTTACTGGCATTGTGCTGCTATTTCACTTCTCATTTTTCTTTAGGAATTAAATCACTGGACTCTCTCTAGAGTGGCTAAGATAGTACAGTCTCATCTAAGTTGTGTAGGAATGCTTTTCTACACTAGTAGGCAATGCAGTCCAGGAGAAGCAGAGCTGTAGAGCGGTACACTTGTCAGTAAGGGGTTAATGTTCACACTATACAAGTGTTAGGAGGTTTTCTTAGTCCTGTTTCAAGGTATGCAAACCTGAGAGTCAGCTGCAACAGATCATTTAGGTTAGCTTAATCCAAAAGCAATCTAGTTTGCCCCTGCTCAGGTATGTGAACCATAGCTCAGTAGGTAGGGGACAACCAGGAGTTGCACACTCCTGATTTAATCTGAAATTCTAATTCAGTCACTCAAAACATGGAATTAAGAATAATGCAAAAATGAGTAGTTACTTGTTGCTGCATGCAGTGACCAAAGAATGATTTAGTTCAGTCTACAGTTCCTAAGAAAAACAAGTGTTACAAGCATAGTGCAACAACTGAATATCCTAAGCACCTCCCCAGCTCTGCTTCACTACCTGCTGGTGCATACACTGTGCAAAAAGTTGCAGTCAGCTGGCTACAGGCAAGCATAGTGCTTGTTTTACACCTTTCAGAGTACTGGATGGCCAGATTGGTACCTGAATATCCTCTTCTTCATCAGATGGTTCTGTGAGCCCAGTGTAACTTGCAGAAGAGGTACAGGGAGAAAGTGGTACTGTTTGAAAGTTTGGATTACATTTTATTGTGCAATTAGAGACGGCAGGTAAAGTGAAGCTTGACAGCTGTCACAGGTGCCATCACAGCCTGGCCCTCATCTGTATATGGCTTTGAGCAAAGGTCAGATTTGTCTCCCTCTGCTGACTGCAAAACAAGAATGGTATCTGCTAGCTGGAGGTTATTAATGAAGGATACAGTATGATCACAGCATGCTGTGATAATATTGCAAACACTCTTCAGCTGATTTCATTGGCTTTGTATATTGGTGCAGCGAAGTTAGTTGCTCCAGGTTCTCCTTTGGATAGAGTGAGCACATTGCTGACACTGTACTGTAGCAAAGAGTTTTTATGTCAGTATCAGACTGTCCCTTCTCTCCCTGCAGACTATCAAATATTGCATCAAAACAGTCAGTACCAAGGACATTAAAATAAAACTTGAGTACAAAAAATTGACTACAGCATTGTAGCATGAAATTCATGACCATTTCAGCCATCAGTCCAGCAAGTATAGTGGCTTGCAAATATTTTTAAGAAATGGTTAACTTTTTTCAAAACAGTGGTTTTTTTAGATGGTAGCATCTTGCTAGGATCACAAAACTTCTAGATACTTAAGCCTATGCTAAGTATGTCAAGCTTTTATTGTACTGCATACACACAGTCACACCACTTCACAAGGACACAGAGCCAAAAAAACATCAAGTTGATTGTCAGAAGGCTTGAACCTCTCCCCTGTTGACCTGGAGCTGAAGTAGCCAGTCCTAAACTGAGTGGTGTATTTGGAAGCCCTGAGATATTTTTTTTTTTTTAATTAAAAGTGATCTTCTGCAGCAGTGTTTACGAAGGGGCTAGATGCTACAGCCTTGTGTTTAGTCTTAGCTAGCCCAGAGGAAAGTGAGAAAGAGCCACAATTCCACAGTCCTAGAGAACTGTTAAGGATTTGATCTTGATCTTTGTTTTTAATGCTGTGATCCCCCAACTCTGGAAGAAACTGCACATTTCTACTCTAGGATAAATTTCATGTGCTGGAATTGTTCCCAGGGTTGGCATAGCTTCAACGGATTTTGTTTTGGCTGTAGTACTCACATGCTGTTGCAAAAATCCCTGGGGAAAAGAGTTGGAAACAGGCAAAAGAACAACAAAGCTATGCAGCGTTCTCCAGGAGGCTGTATCACAGTGGAGATGATTCCCAAATGCCAGTCATAGGGGGAGATCCCAGAATTTTTCCTACTCCTTGGCTTCTCTACAGGAACCATGATTTCTACAGCACGATGTTCTCTTTCTTTTCCTGATGAGAGTTTTCCCTGTGGATGCTTTTCCTCCCTGGTGTTTTCTTGTTTACTCAAGGTCTCAGCAGAACCATGCTGGCCTAGAGGCAATTCAGTTTTCATTAAAGATTCTTCTGTAACAGTGTCCACTCACTGGCCAGCATCCTGCAATACTGGAAAGCTCTCCTCTGAGCACTCGTGAGAGAAGAGTGAGGGAATGGACCTTCATCTACCAGAGCCCTTCAGCCATTCACAACAGCAGCTTATTGAAACAGACTCAATTCTGAGCTGTACAGAGTGCTGTAGATGAATGCTGATTCCCTTCACCCTTCACTTATACTATTTTTCAGTACTCTTTCAGACTTAGTCATAAACATTAATTTTAGCCCAGTGAATTATTACTGGGATGCAGGGTGTAGCACTTACCTCAGTAACACAGGACCAAGAAGAGCTTTTGACACAGAACTGATGTATCCACCCACAACAGTGTTACATTTCTATCTGCTCTGCAAGCACAAGGTTCAGGGGTTCTGCCTGCGTAAGAGAGAAAATACCCAAGAAACCTGAGCATGCTGTGGAATTATGTTAGTCTTCCACCTCAGAAAGTTTGAGTCTGCTTTGCTTGAGCTGGATTGCTACTCAAGAGCAGCACTGGGTTTACCTGCATCTCCTGCAGCACTGAGGAAGGTTGTTAGTTGAAAAAAGAAGTTCAGTTCTGACTAGCCCTAACTCACAGGCCTGATCCTGAAAGCCTTTCTCATGCAAATGGAACTTCTTGCATTCAGGCAGCAGTTCTCACTAGCTTGGGCCAATAGCTTTAGAAGGTAACTTCATCCAGGCTGAGGGAAAAGGGAGAAGAAGAGAGAGATCACAAAATTAATTCATTTTCCACCAGGAAAGAAAAAAAAAAAAAAGGTAATAAAAAATAGGATAGTAAGTGAGCCTTGCCCCTAAAGTTGCTGATTACTTCTAAATTAAAGGAAAAGCTAGCATGTGTGGTAATAAATTGTCACATATCGTGGGCATCAGCAGCAGTTACTATGGACACAGCTTCTGAGAGAGGCAGACAGTAAGAGAAAGCTGGAACGAAGAAGAAATGGTAGAGCTAAAAAAAGGGTTAACTGGGATTTGGAGAGATCACTGTTTAAAAACCTTGTTCAGTACAGAGTCAGTAATCCTTGGCATTCCGGAATTCTGGCATGCTCCAAACCCTTCTGGTGGGCTGGGTGCCCCGCTCTACATCCTCAGAGATGGTCTTGATGTCACTGATGAATGGGGAAATCTTGGACCGGGACTTAAATGTTGTTAAGGAGAGGCTGGTTTTGTTCTTTGTGTTCCATTGCTTGGCGAGCTTCTTGGCGTCTTCCTCCTCTTTGATCTTCTCAACAGCTTCCTGCAGAACAGAGCGGAAGAGTCGAGATACTTCCTGCACTTCTGGTTCGTATTCAGCAACGAGTTGCCGGAATCTGAAAGCACAGTCAAGGCACAGCTTTGATTAAAAACATCAGATGAGGGATTGGTGCCAAGTCACAGGGCTAAGCTTGGAACTTGCGCTCTTACAAAATGGGACTCCCTGCATTGAAGGGAACAATAACAGAGAGGAGCTATGAAGATATGCTCAAGGTCTCTAAAATCCAGAAAGCCAGAGAATGTAAGGAAGCAGTGAATCACTATTTCTCACAAGCACAAGAAATAATAGGGAGCACCAAACAAAGCTAGAGCGTGGCATCTTGGAAACAGAAGGAAGTGCTCTTTTCACATAACGCATATTAAGTCAGAACTCAGTGCTATCAGTAGCTTAACAACATGCTCAGACAAGTTTGTGGAAAATATCCTCATCACTGCTGATTAACTGTGATTGTCCACGTGCAAATACTTGCTCAAGTAATCTGTAAACTGCTGCTTACCAGAAGCTGAGAATGTATCACAGAAGAGGTCCCACTGGATTCCTCATTTTTCAAACTCTCTTTTTTCCACAGCATGACCTAGTGGCCACTAGACAAACTCTTACCCAGTAAAACTCTGTTACACGTTCAATCTTTTCTTAATATTTAAGTTCCAATGGATTTCTGTAACATAACAGTGGCTCAGCTGATAACATCTTGATTGGAAGCACAGTACCTAATTGGAAGCACTGTACCTAATTAAACAACTCTGAAATGCTCCGCTGTCTTCTCAGCAAAGAGCTCAGAATGATTTCTTGACATTTACTAAGCTAGCTTAGTATGAGGGAAGTGAAGAATTATCACTGTTTCTTTTGCAGGTGGGGAAGATGAGATGCAGAGCAGGGCAATTTTGTGAAGCCACTGAATCAGATCCTGGCTGGAGCAAGAAGAGAACGTACTTTCTGGACATCTGGTTGAGTGACTGGCTCCCATTCTGGACAGCTCATGAGCCACTCCTATGGCTCTCACACTGGTTGCATAGATATTCTAGTTCTTCTGTAAGAGCACATGTTTATGACAGAAGATAACATGGCTACTCTTCTGACAATATTCAGTTCTTAACATAAAGATTTTATCTGCAGATAGAGCTAAACTATTACTTTACTAAAATCCAGGTGGTTATACTTAATGCAAGTTAAAATATGTAATATCTGCAAGCATTTTTATATTTTCCTTTAACAGAACTGAGTGATAATGGAAAACAGTAGGAATGTATTTAAACAAGCCCAATAAGACAGCAGTCAACAGACTAAAATCCTGCCTCTAGGGTTTTTTTGATCATCCCTAAGAGTGTAACAGAGAGTTCAATGTACTCCATAACTTCAGTGTATAATGGTACCCAATGGCACTCAAGATATTAAGGGCAGAAGGAAAGCCAAAGGTGTAACTGAAAGATTGTATGTTTATGCTTTTGATTTTTACTGTTGAGGCCTGATATTGGCTGCATCTCCTGACATCATGCTATAACACAGATATTTCAGTGTTTGTTCTCTCAGAGCAAGTATTGACAGCTACACATACAACTGAGAGCATTGCACAGTGCTCGGGAAATTCAGTATCATCAGAACTACCACTCACTTTCAGGATACCAAACGATCAGTTACCAAAGTCACAGAGATGTTTCTTAACTATTGCAATTGCTTAGGATGTATTCCTAATCTCTCTCACCCTAACCATCATCACCTGCATCCTTAAGGGTTATCACAAAACAGTGAGAACAGAGATTTGCTGTATATTGCAAACACAATCGTAGAATGGTTTGGGTTGGAAGGGACCTTTAAGATCATCTAGTTCCAGCCCCCCTGCTATAGGCAGGGATACCTCCCTCTAGACCAGGTTTCTTACAGTCCCATCCAGCCTGGACTTGATTTCTTCCAGGGAGGGGGCATCCACAGCCTCACTGGGCAACCTGTTCCAGCGTCTCACCACCCTCACAGTAAGCAATTTCTTTCTGATATCTAGTCTAAGTCTTCCCTCTTCCAGCTTAAAGCCATTTCCACTTGTCCTGTCACTACACACCTTTTTGCCTTCTGAGAAGGAACTTTACTTGCATTATCAAAGATCCACAAACCCAGTTCTCACAGTAAATACACTCTTCTCTTTATCCCAATCAGAAGTTTAGACAGATGAGTCCATCGAAACCTCAGTCTTCGCAACATTATTATTATGCCAGGGAAAGCATCTTCATAGGTCTTTTATTGCAAAGGTGAACTGAATGAGTCATTCTGTTTTATCTTTATGTGTATTTTAAAGAGCGATGCTGTCATACTGTATCTATCCACCAATACACCTTCTTTTCTTTGTATTGGCAGTTGTGCACCCAGAAGACCCTGGAACTGCCTCAGGTTTTTGAGGTTGTTTAAAAACCAAACAGAAAACAATCCCAAGTGTCTGCCAGTCCCTCAAAGAAAAGCCATTGTCATTCAGATGGAGAGGGGAAGGAGAGCTTTTTTCTCCCTCCACAGTAAGATGAACCCTGTCCCTTTATTAATGCCCAGCTCCAGGACCAGCATGTTTGTGTAAGGGAGAGTTGATTGCATAAAGTCCAAAAGGTATGAGTGCCACAAGCATTTTCCAGAACAAAGGATGAGGAGTTTATCAGGGTAAGATCTAGCTAAATGAGTCCATGTATTGGAAGGCAGGTGATGTTTACTGCAGCCATTTGTACACAGCTGAAGCCATTCTCCCCAGCTACCAGTGAAAGCCAGTTGCAGTGCTGGCTGATCAGTCTGTTCTCTGCACAACACGTAAAGCCAGTTTAAACCTCTGGAATCAGAGAATGTGGGCTTATATCCTGCGTGCCATTACTGGGAAACAAGCTCTACACAAAGCCGTTCAGTAGAACCAAGCACACAAAATTGCACAAGGCTTACCTATCTTCTAGCACGGGTTAACACCCTTACACTTTTGCATGAAATAGTTTCAAACCCAGCAACTGTGCAATGATATCTGAAAAAATCCATCAACAGGGTCTCCTTACTCATCTGAAAAGCATACCTATCTACCTTATTTGTGAAATGAGTTAAGATGATAACACTAGTAGCTAACCTGTAATATACTACAGGAGTTTAATGTAAACACCTTAAGACGTGACTATCAACAGAAGTCACCTTAAACCAGCACAGGAGCCTAACGAGCACGTTATGTGCATGTAGAGATGAGCCTGTTCAGTAGTCCAGGCTGTGCTTTCATCACAGTCCAAACAAATTTGTTTCAGTTGCAACCCTTCAGTTTCTTCACAGAACCATTTGATTTTAAGCCTGGCTGCACTCGGCCACCTGCCTGTCTTATTCTGTGGGCGCTCAGTTAAATAGGTTTCCCAAATAAAGCCTGAACTCTAAAGATCTGTTAAATCCAGTAGAAGTTGGTGGACTTAAACAATATGTTTATAGTGAAGCGTGTTCCCGAGTGCCTGCCCGAACTGGGAGCTCTAGGTAGATTTAGTCACTGACAGAAAACATGGGGTGCTTAGTGCTAATAATCAGCTGCCGACTCCTGAACCTTTATGTTGGGCAAGATTTCTGGTGATGCTGTGAAGCTGTGAACAGCTTTGATAGAGAAGGTTGCTTGACTCACAAACGATGATGCCACTCACACTAACTGCTACTCTGGAGCCATGTCAACCTCGAACTTGAGAGCGTAATTGTCAAGAAACACATTGCTGATTGTAGTCATTTGTCTTACATTCAAGCTCACTCTGAAGTCAACTTCTGCTATAGATAATCCTTAGAAAATTACAGTCCTAAGCCTATGCTATTAATGATCTCAGATCACCAAAATGAAGCTTTGCTTTTCTATACTGTACTTTTTTTGTTTCTCTCTGGACAGAATCTGACAGTTTCACTTTTCCCAAAACCGAAGGAAATGAAACTGACTGTAACCAGCTCTGATTAGAGCTACCAGTAGAGTAGAGATGGTGAAAATCTACCATTCTGCTAATTTGTTTAATCATGTCAGCTAGGTACGAAGGGCCTTAGCAAAAATCAGTCACCTCCTTCAGATGGCTCACACAGCTTAAACCACAAAGCCATCTCCAATCCAGTAATCTACAGTTAAAGTTGCATGTGAATGCAAAGCTTTATTTGTATGAGGTAAATCAGAGTCTCCAGCTGTGGAAGAAGTGATGATATCTGAAGTGTATTTGAATCTTAAAAAATGTCAAGAGACTGAAATAAAATCTTCTACTGACTTAAAATACGCTTTTACAGAACAGACAAACTGAATCCAAAAAAACCCCTCCATCTTAAGAAATGCTCCTTCCCAATCTCCTCCACATCCAAAGAGATAAGAACTTTGCCTCCCAGTAGATGTGACTGTAGCCACACAAGAAGACAATTTGGACAATCAGTTAGTCCTGTGAAGAACAAAGGGACATCTCTGACAACTCATCAAAAAGCATTTTGTTGTGGCTTTGACTCTTAGCCTGAGTCTCACAAAGGAGAGCCTGCATGACACAAACTAAACAAACTCACCCTTTGTGCAAGACTCACACTACCTGTGTTATTTAGATATTTGCATGCTTGCTTTGAAGCTCCATCAAAAAGAACTTCAGTTCTTCAAATGTGTAAAATGAAGGGATCAAGGGAACAGAATCAAGGCCTTCTGCAAGGTACACGCTCAGCATCTGCGTTTCCAGATCCAAGTTTGGAGACTTCTCTTTTTTTGGGGGGTGGAAGATTTTCTACAAGTTGTTACATGTTATGAAGTCACAAGGTTTTTCAGGAAAAACATCAGAAGCACAGTGATTAAAATACATAATTGGCAGTTTGAAGATTTCAGTCAAAGCCCTACGATAGATATCCCATATATTTTGGGGGCACGTTATTACGATTTCAAAGCTTTCTCACTTTCTGAGACAAGAATTAATCCAGTTTTAGATGTCTTCTAATTAGGCTGCACACTCCCATCTCTTGCATATTCTCAACTCCTAGCATGGCAAGCCTCATTCTTCCATTTTCTGGCCTCTCAGAAGGCAGAGAAGAAGAGGAGTGGACTGTTCACTTTTCCAACACAGGAAGAAGTACTTATCAAATAAAACCAGAACATGATAGTTTGAGGCAAGCAAAACACAGTTTTCCACAGCAAAGTTATAATTCAGATGTGGAACTCCACCACAGACAGGAGAAGTTTACATATTCAAAAACAAAATAAAACAAAAATCTGAAAAAAAAAAAGAAAAAAAAAAACCAACCTAAAGAAAAAGCCACACAGGGCAGTAACGGACAGAAGCACCACTTCTGGCTCCACAAATCTTCATGTGACAAGGCACAGTAAGCCAGCAGCCATACACAAGATACCATCCATGGTGTATCTGCTTGCCTCATTTGTTTTCTTCAGACAGATGCCACTACATCATGCATAGATCAAACAGACCTTTGACCCAGTCCAGTTCTGCCATTTCTATGGCCATGACATTCCTTTCTCAACCACTGATCTGAAACAACTAAGGCATACAATCCTCTTCTTTTTTTTTCTCCCCTCCACATGGCTTTGCTACCCATGCAAACTCCTTAGCATGAAACAAACAAAACACACCACTTCTTGGATTATACCGTAATCCAGTTTCTGACAGTCTGTCACAGTAACTTAAAATAGGCCTCTTAAAAGGATGGTTTTGTGATTTTTTCAATGATGCACACATACAATTTGACAACACTGTTGAATACGTTTACCTCCAATTAAAGGCATGCTGAATACTGAATGAGATTGAGCAACTTCTACAAGTTACTCTGAAATCAAGGGGAAAAAAATGCACACAAAATATCTTGCATCATCTGTCTCAATTAAAAATAAAAATAAATGATAAGTAAATGGTGTATGTCACAGCTTAATACTCCTCTGAAGTTAGAACCTTGAGGCCTCCCAGCTCCAATGGCTCTTATGGAAATACTCGTTTGCCAGACAGATCTTGCTCAGTGGCTCTAGGGATCTTGAGAATTACTCAGAACCCCAAGGAATTTGCAGTGATGTTTACAACATAGTTTAAAGTTATACAGACACAAGGCAAGTCTGTTGCCAGCAAACTTTCACTGCTACTGAGCAACCCCAAATCTCTGGTTCTTCCACCACAGCAATCTTTGCGATAGCCAAAGCCCTGTACCCCCTTATTTCCAAGGTTCAGCCCTGGGCAAGGAAGGCTGTAAGTCAGAGGGCCAGTGATTTCCAGCCCTCTTACAGCTGCAGTGCCAGAGCTGTAGATTGAAGAGAAAACAGGGAAGGCATATGCAGTGAGAAACTTGCAGAGTGCTCAGCACCCCAGTGTAAGTGGCGTGCCAGGACTGTGCTTCTAATCCCAAGTGAAAAACACGGTGAGATGGGGGAGGTGGATTATAAAGGCCCAACTCACAACTTTACTTTGACTCCATGAGACTTCAGAGCCATTGCTCCTCACTTGCACTGTGCTAAGTGAGAGGGCTTAATTTAGACTGGACCTCTCAAAAGGGAAAGAAAAAAGTCACCTCCTACCCTTCCAGTTTGGATGCCATTACAGTTAGGTAGGTTGGTTCTAGTTCAAAGCCAACCTCACAAAAGGTTGGTCAGCCAGCAATGAGCAATCCAGTGTCTAGGATTGCTTGGAAGGTTCACCAGCAAGTGCAAGAGGCTACATCACAGAAGGCAGAAGCACTAGCTAGCTGTTCAAGCCGAATGCTTGCTCTACCTGCATGTATATGAGGGAACAAGCATGCTCTCCTTCCTTTTTCTGGGAACATATGACTCAGACTGAAAAATACAATAGCACCTTTTGGCTAGTCTGGACACTGTTGGGACAAGTGCCTCGGTAAAGCTTCTGCCCAGCTTAAATCAAAGAAGGAAGCCTCAAATTAGAGTGGATAAATACTGAAGCATGTTGTTCAGCGGCTGCGGAATCTCCATCCTCAGAGATACTCAGCAATGGGTAGAATAAGGCCTCAGCAACCTGACCTGGCTGTGAAGTTGGCCATTTCAGAGAGGCACACACTTCCAGTGATCCCTTTAAACCTTGCTTATTCAAAGATTCTAAAGACTGAAGCAAAAGCCATGAAATACTGAAACTGCAGCAAAATCAGGCAAGATAAAGTTTATCTGGCTGATAAGGAGCATAAAGTATTCAAGCCACTCAGAGAGCAATGGCATTTAGTAGCTTTCCAGAGGAAATGATACCACATGAAACTGACTTTAAACATTCAGCCTTTCTTCTCCCACAAAGACATTGCCACAACAAAACCCTCAGTACAGGATGCCCAAGTCTTGGTTCTGTTGGTCCTAACAACTCTTGCTCCCCCCTCACACACCATAAAGAGGAGAGAGGGAAAGGGAAGGTCTGGATCATCAGATCTTTTACTGTACCTGAGTATGACAGGCCCACAGTAGGAGGGATGTATTTTGGTACACATATCCTCCAGCTGCAGCCTTTCTCCTGGGCTGATATCATAGCTCTGCTTTGGGTAGCTGACCAGCCAGCCGTAGTCCACCCCAGTCTTGATCTTGCGATACTCATTCTCCCGCTCCCGCTGCTGCTTCTCTGCCTGCTTGATCTGCCAGCTCAGCTCCATCATTAGCGTCTCAACCACCATCTCTGTGGGGTTCCTCTGGGAAATCCGATTTGGGGGCTCATTCCACCTGAACCAGGATGCCAGTGACATAGTGCCCTGCGTGTCTTCACTGGGAGCAAATTGGGGGTAGGGAAGGAGAGAAAAAGAACAGCGCCATCATCAACACAGCTCAGACAAGAACTTTCTCCCCCACACATCCCTCAAATCTGTTGTTTGCTTTTAAGTGCTGCTGGATTAGCCACTTAGAGGAACTACTCGTTGTGGGCATCTTGAGAAATAAATCTCACCTTTAGCAACCAAATTGTGTAGAGAGGCACTGAACTGCCAGTCACCACATAATTAAAATTACAGGCACAATTCTTACATCTGAAGACAAGTTATGGAATATCTTTCTCCCACTGAGATAGGCAGGGGAAGAATTCTCCTGTCCACAGAACAGGGACTAGGCTTTGGCTGTATGAAACCTCATGGGAGAGCGTGACCCTACATACAAAAACTCAACACAAGGAGTCAGGTGTATGTAGGCTTTATGGGAGCCATGTGCTAGCCAACAGGGCATCCTCAGAGGGAGCAGAGAAAACGTAACACAGGCAGATAGCAGAAGCGATAGAGTTCATCTGTACTTCTTGCTGGCAAAAGCAACAGTTGCATTCATCACAAGACCAGACAGAGCTTTAAATTTTATTTAGCAAGAGTCACTTCACGCAATGGGAGAGGCTACACCATCTTCTCCGAGCGGAAGTCCAACTACCAGTTATACCAGAATAGCACACCTTAGGCACACACCACCAGTAGTAAAGGAGCTGAGAGAAAAGTGGCAGCATATCAAGGTTTAAACTGGTATTATTTCTAAGTGAGAGGTTTCTGCTGCTGGGGAGTTACACAGCACTTAGAATGCAAAACAAGCTGCACCAATCAGCTCAGTGAAAGATGGAATTAACTCCCTTTTGTGTAGTCGTTCCATTATCCTCAGATAGTGAAGTTATTAACAATTGTATTTGTATTTAAACAAAACAGAGTTCAAAGCAGTCACCAGAGACCTGAACAGGAGTAAAACAGCATCCGTTTCTTCTCACAGCATACTTGCCTTGCTGCTCCCTTCTATTAGCCTACAGGGAGGAGGGGTGGCACAAATCATGCTTGCAGCTGGATCACCAAAAGGCCCCTCCTGGCTGCAACTCAATCAGGACAGAGTTTCAGCTGTTAACATAAGAGCCCGATTCTGCAGGGCCTGAGAAAACTTCTTCTGATAAGAGAAACAGACATGAAGACAGACATAAAAGAGAAAAATAAGCTTTTAAGCTGCCACACTGGGGCCTTCAGTCAGTGCAAATCACCAGAAGCTTGTGACTGCCCTGCATTCTCATTACAGCTTAGACACAAGTTCTCAGACTTCCTAGAAGAGCAATGCTCTTCTGCCTTCAGAGATTCTGCCTTCAGTGCCAAAAAGCCATCATCCTCTGCACTGGATGTGAAGGCCACTTGAGCTGCTTCCACAGCTTTATTGCTTGCTATGATGTAGACCTGTTCTCTTTCCAGAACGTCCATAGGTCACACCATTAAAGAACAATGCTTCAAAAACCTGGACAGTCTGTACTGTGTCCTGAGTTTGAAGTGATCTCAGAGACTGATGCTTAGGCTTCATTAAAATCACAAAATGCAACAAAGGACAAGTTTCCCTAGTCCAGTATCTTTCCTCTCACTGCCAGCTACAGGCTTCTTCAGAAAGAAGACATATAAGGGCTGAAAGCTTCCACAGATGCGGCTACCTAGATGTGTAAGGCTGCACATATTCCTGTGAGACTGTATAAACATGAGAGTATGTACTAATTTGCAATGCTTACACATGAGAGATCACTATAGCGACTGTTTTTCACTCTGGAGTAGCAGCTGTGATTATCTTCACCATACCACTCCTAGTCGGCACTTGCTGGAAGTGCTCCTACTCCTATCTAATTTCTGTGCCCTAGAGGAAGAGCAGGAGGCCCCTTCCTATGCTTTCAGCACCTGTGACTCCAGCCATCAATCTGCTCCTGCTCTCATATCAGCACTGCTACTGCTTACTGCCCAACACACATGAATGAACTCAGTCTGGAACTGGTGTGCTGACAGTGTCAGCTCCATCATCTCATCACCCTAACACGTGCTTGAATCTTGCTATGTGGTCACCTCCACTCCTCAGTACAAATTATTAAGGATGAAGATCCTTAAAGCCTTTTCATTGGTTTTATCCCTCCTTACATGTCACAAAAGCGTGCTCTCTGTTCACAAAAAAGTGCAGCAGAACAGACTACAAGTTGTTATAACAGATCATTATAAAATCTCAGGTTTGTTTTTCAGCTTATGTGACAACTGCCCTTTATCATCAGCTTTTACAGGTATCTAACTGTACCAGAATATATGGTATACAGGTATAGAACCTGTACCATTATTATTTTCTCCTGCACCTGGACTTGATGAGAGAAAGCCTATGCTATTGGTTCTATGTTACCTGGCTTTCATATGGTGCTGGAGCATTCCTACTGCCTTCATCTTTTTGTTTCACCTCACAGGTCTCCCTCAAACAAAGTAGTTGCACTTGAGACCTGTTTTCCATCGCCCAGTATTGCAGAAGGCAATCAGTCAGAAAAGTAGCTTGCATATTTTGTCTGAGCAAGGCCTGCTGAACCGTACCTTTGCAGTATTCCATAGCTTTCATAAAGCACTGATCACAGATTTTGAAAAAGTACAGAGGTGGCACAGAAGCACGGATACTGTTGGTTGTAAGCCAGAGAGAAGCGACACTGTCACCCTCACTCTGACCTTTGACAAACTGTTGTGAAAGTCCCACATCCCAGCTGCCTCCATCTCTTACACCAGAAGAGCAGCATCTGGCCAGCAGTCACCCCAAGGTGGCTGTGAGCACCCCAGAACCAACCTTCCAGTAGGGTGCCATCTGGAATACCTCTCCAGGCAATGAGCTGCAGTCTCAGCCTTCCTCACGTCTTTGGAGGGATGCGAGGAGGTGCTTTCCCCTCTGCTCTGGCAGTGGTCTGAGTACAGTGTTGGCTCTGACCATGTGTTGAGCAGCTCTGGTCTGAATGGGTCTTGCATTCACCTCTCACAAGTTATTTGAAAAATTTACTCACACCTAAGATCAATACGAAGTAAGGAAAGCATCTCACCCATAACTGAAACGGCCAGTTCTCCAACAAAGGAAAATCGTTTGCAAGCATTTTGTGCACAGTGGCAGCTTGTGCTGGCTGTTCTAAAGGAGCCTTGTTTGTCTGAGATTGTTTCCTTCCCCATCTCTCATCCATCACCTCCTCCTTTTGAGAGTTGGAAACTGGCCATCTCTATTTAGCAGGCTTGACAAGCCTCCACACTTTCCACTACTGGTCTTTGCAGCCTGCAGCAGGCAGCATGGGCTCCCTTAATTGTAGCTGCTGTTTTCAATTTAAAGTTCACATGCAGGCTAATCATTAAATGACTCAACATGGCTTTCCCATTAAAAAGACTGAAAAGACCATTGGCAGGATGTAGAAAACTAGAGGATGGCAAAAGTTTCAGACTGTCCTTACTGGGGAAAAGGACAAATTTACACTTTGCAAGCATTCATGTTAGAATTATTAAAAGAAAGAAAGGGACACTGTTCCATCTAAATACAGATCCTCCTGCTGCACAGTCAGTTTTCTGCTTCCTTCTAAAAGGCTGTCCTGGAACCTGATGAACTACTCAGGCTTTATCCAAGCAGAATTTAGGGTAGTTTAAAAAAGCTCCACTCCAAAAGCAGTTACATGTTTCCAAGCTTTTGCTTCACTGACTCCACTGCCAGCCAAACAGTTCCCTCATGCTGTCAATTACAATTCAGCCCAACCACCTGACAGAATTTTAAGCATAAGTTATCCCTAAATTACACCAAAGTCTGGAATCCCTCTTTCCTTTCTTTAACAAAGCCTGATGGTTTTCTTCAATGTCTACTGATGGTTAGTAAGCACTTCTGAGACTTTTTTTAGGTAAAAGTTTCCTTTTACCTTTAAAGAAGCCTTTCTGCCTCCCCAGATCTCATTTTTGTTTTGCACATAGGCAGCGATTCCTGCATACCTCTCCTTTTACAGTTTACAGTTCTCCCCTTCCACTTCTCTACCTTTTCCCATATTTCCCCATGCAATTTTCTCTTCTTGCTACAGTGAACATATCAAAGAATCAGCAGAAGTATTGGGGTCCTCATTCTTTCTTTGGTTTCTCACCTCCCTATAACAGGATTTCAGATTCTCCTAGCTCTTTTAGTGTGAAAGAGAACAGTTCCATAGTTTGATCTCTGGCTACTCTTTTGCCAGATGGAGGCCGTTGATAAAACCTGGCAGCTATCAGCCTCCTTCAGGCTCTTGCAGGTGAGATCACCACCTGCTAAGACCTGTTACACCAGGCTGCTTTCCGGTAAGCCATGAGTCAATCGGCAGGACCTGTCTGCCTTGTAGGAAATTTTTTATTCAGAAGTGTATTTCACTTTCATTGAACCTTCTCTTGGTTTTCAGTTTCCAAAACCCTCTCAGACAGGAATAGGCAGAGGTTGAGAAATGCATATTTATGAAAAAAGGAGCTTTGCTTTCTATACAGGTATGTTTTCAGTTGATAACCCTCCTTTGCAGCCTGTCAGTGCAGAAGTACTACCAAGAACACCTAGTGACTCCCAATAATCAAAGGGGTATGACAGCTGTGTCAGAGCAGAGGGAGAAAAGATGCGAGGGGCTGGATGAGCAGGAGCCTAATCCACTATTGAATGGCGTCAATGGAAATGTTGTCACTCAGCTGGCTATAGATAGTCCCAGGAAATCCGCTGTCACCCAGGCTGTACACTGACAGACCGGGCTTAGGAGCTGGGAAATGCCTTCCCCCATCCCAAGGGTGGTGGCTCCTTGCTGCAAGAGTCAGAGAGCAGAGATAGGATTTGTTCATGTAAGATACCAACTCAGTCTTGCTCCACACGTCCCAGATCAGACAGGAACAAGCATGGAAAATGATTTCTAAAAGAAGAGTGACAAGCTCCATCTCCAAACTGTGTTCATAATCATACTTCTTAAGAGAAATGCAGCCACAGGGAAAACAGGAGATTTGACACTGTTGAGC